CTACGACTGTGCTTCAAGGTCCCCGTCGCGGAGGAAGATCGAAAGAACGCGGACCGATTTTTAGTAACGAGGTAAACGTTGCAATTATGGCCGAACAACCATCTGAATACGCGTCCGAGTTCTAGCCGAGGGATGCTCTTCGAGAAAGTCCCTGTGAGTGGATCTTACGATGTAGTTTTTTCTCCTCTGTCTCTGAGACAGACACGCGTGCACGTGCGGCGTCAGGGACGTTATCCGATTGGTCGTAACGGTTGCTTTTACGAAGTTGTTTCACTTTTGCATCGAGCTTCGACTGATGTATCTGATGTTATACAAGCGGTAGGTTGAGGTTTTTATGATGGCAGGTTTTTACGACTCGCGGTTTTTTCATGTTTCACCGTGTTCTTGTAATTGGTAGTTTCTTCGTGATTCGTGGGCGGGAATGTTTATGACATGCGAGTTTACGTATTAAAATATTCGTAGCTTTGTTACGAGATTCTTTTTGAATTTACCTATATATCGAGAGTTGGCATGTTCCGCGCTATTGTTTAGTTTCTTCTCAAAAATTCGAAAAGAATGCTCAGAAAGAGTTCGAAGTAAAAGTAAAAGTTCATAATTTATCCAAAATGGATCGAGGCAAACCCCGTTTCTACATACTTCGTCTTATCATTCATCTGCCATGCACTCGCCCTTAACAACTGAAGAGTAAAAATCGAGCTAATAAAAGAACGAAGTTTGGTCACGATCACGAGATATTGTACTTAGGTAAGCGACGAACTTCGAGTTTGGTTGCTTATTTGGGAGATGGTGGCGGGTTTCTCCGGGTGGACCGGGTGCGGCCGTTTAATTCGAAGCCGAACCGGAGGCTGACCTAAAATAGAGGTACGATTTTAATTGGAATAAGTTCCGCGGAGCGTGCAAAAAAGTACAGAGAGCGTTCTTTCTGGCCGCTTCGGGCAAGTGGTCGGTCTCTCGCGCGCTCGCGTGCACGCGGTCCAGACGGACAAGCGGTCCGTGTCGGTTCTTGCGCCGGCGATTAAACCGAATCGCGGACCTGTCGCTTGCTAATTTATTAGGGCGCGTTACCGAGCAGAATACCCCGACCGGGACGGGGTGGTCGGGTGAATTAAATTCGTATTTCGCCGCGCAGGCGGCAGCAGGCGAAATTAGATTCGACGGAGATAAATCCGTGGTGGACGAACGGAGAGTAGTCGGGACGCGTTCACGCCGTAGTCAGTGCCGAGTAAATTGAGACATTCGCAATGGCGGCGTCGAAAGAAGATCGTATCGATGATTAATGTCCGTCGTGGTACCAACGCAACGGTTCGGTAAAAAGCGCGCAATTACACCGCATAACGCTTAATGACTCGATAAGTGGTACCGCGAAACGATACGTATTGTGATGCGGGATTATACATGCAGGCCCTCGTCCGGTCTCCGGCCGGTAATAACTGCAATTTCATCCGGTCTTAATCTTGCTTGGATCGTTTCAAACGGGGGAGGGAGGCATCGAAAAATCGTACCTCACTCGAGGCGCTAGCCATGGCGCGGCCTAGACGCGAGCAGCACTTCGAAACAAAAAGAGTCATCGCGCGGAGGGACCCGAAGAGAACGAAGGAAGAAAGATAGATTGGGCTCTCACCGAAGAGAAGACTTTCCTCGAGTCGGATTAATACCGCGTCGGTGAAAAGCAAACCAAACGAGAGAGAAAGAGGAACGGAGAAAAGGGAAGGGAAGAAACGGTGATCGTTCTTCTCCGGCAGGCCGGACAATAGCAGCGCCGCGAAGTGTAGCGGACAAACAAATAGCCAATTAAAATTCCGGTTGCACGGCGAACATACTTGTATCAGCTGCAGTACTACCAAGCATTGTGCACCAGAGGCATGCGCGAGCCAGTGTCTGGATCGGTTGACTGGACCCGAGTACCAGAAGATCGGTTGCTTACGACCAACCTTCAAGGACTATCTCGAGAAGGCGAATCGTTTGCACCGTTCGCTCAGCTGAATCTTGCTCCGCGCTCCGAAGAGACATCGTTATCGACCGATCGCGCTTTTATCGCGGCCGATTCCAGCTCTCCCGCTGTCACGTTTCGTGGAGATGGTTAATTAAAAAAGCGTTCGCTAGTTCCACGCCAATTAATCATAAGCGCCCGCGGCGATGCGCGGTTATTGTTGCTTACGATTCTTTCCTTTGCTTTCGTCTTCTTTTATTTTTCCGTGTCTTTCTTTAAAGACGAACGCTATAAACGCGGATCGTGATTCTACACGTAGTTGGATCGTCGAGACAGACTGGAAATTAGCCATAGACGGTCGGTCGTTTCGTTAATTGGAACAGATAGATCCGCGATAGTAAATCAAGCGGCACAACGAACGTGATAACCGATAAAATACTGACTCTTACGCTATCTTTGTTACTTGACCCAGCGCGATAAAATCGTGCGGATGATTAATTAAAGCGGGGAATTAATTATCTAGGTGCGGGTCGTTCCGCTCCCACTTGCCGCGCTTAACCATAAACATCCAACGTTAAATTACATCCCCGCTTCAGTATTTCTGGTCGATCGTTTAATCGATAGACATCGATTTTAACTAGTATCACGAGCGATCCCGTGTATCGTTGGCCTCGAAAGAAACACACAGTACGCATTATCCAATTACAATAATTCGTGATAACGGATTGTTGGAAAATCCATGGCTGATCGTGGAAAGATAAAACTGTTACAGCACATTCTTATGTAAGAAACTCACTCGAAGTTATCAGATATCGGTATTGTCACACGGTGGACGATGGCGTTTAAAAAATAAAGAAAACATTTACAGAAATCGAGCTGCTCCGATATTCGTCGAATCGTCGGCAAGAATGAACGATTACTAAATTACAACGCGCCCTTAGATACGATCGCGGGCCCATAATTGCAGGACTATTCATACATTATTGGCTCGTATATTATTTGACGCGATTCAATAACTCTGAACCGGGACGTTCGATGTTATCTCTCCGTCGTTAAGCCGCATTCGCAATATCGATCGTCCCTGATGAATGGCCGCATTTAAGCCCGTCATTTTTCCCGGTGATTATTAACGTTAAAATTGAATGTGTCCGGAGTGTAGCTGCTACGGCAGCAGAAGCAACAGCAGCCGCGTAGCCTGGCGCTCCCTCGCGAGGACCACGTTCGAAAAAAAGCCACCAGCTCCTTCCCGTTCTTTTTCTTCGATTTCTTCTTCCTCCTCCTCTTTCTTTCTCCACCGAGAGGAAGATCCATCTTCGAATGTGTGTTAAGGTCCCGCGACGCTCCAACTACTGGGAACGCCTCGGCTGCCGCTGCTCCGAGCAAACAGGGGGCGTAATTTATCGAAGGGGTCCAAGGTAAATGAGAAAGCCTCGCGCCAAGAGTTCGGTCACTCTTTGTTCACCGGCGAATCGAGTCCACGCGAATTGCTCGCATGTGTAAACTGTACGCTTACGCGAGAAGTGTCTGATGAACTTCAGGTGTCGTCCGTTCCAAACTGGAAGCGCGAGAATGTTGGATTAAGGAGGAGATTCTTGGTAGTGGACGGTTGATTTATCGATTCATATTGTGTATCGTATCGATGTTTATCGTATTGATAATAAAATGTACAAACCGAGTTGATCAACGTGTCATAATTCATAATCATAACGTGTCATATTCGAGCTATTTAATTACTGCTGGATAAAATGAATTTCCGCTAATTGAATCTATTTATTTGGACATAAATACCGATTATATGAACGGAAAATCATTCATTGGAGAATCAATGTACTCCGGATATATAAACTTCAGCTACATGAACTGCTTGTCTCTTGACAAAATCATATAAATTCTAAGCCCTACTGTATACATAGCAATATGTTCTAATATTTAGAAACAAGTAGATTTCTTTATTAGCTTAACTTTGACCATAATTTTACAGTACTTACTATTCCCTCAAAGTCGTAATTTTCATTAAGCACAAACATACGTTAAACCAGTCAACATTCCAAATGGAATGTACGTTGGTTAAAGATCGATAATAAAAAGCCGACGGCACAGCTTTTACAACCTGCCAATATACACCTATTCGAAACGTATCGCTGTTCGGTGCCGGTAAATAAAGACGCAGGGGGACCGTGGTTCCGCGATTGATGCACGAAAATAAGGTATTTTACATCGATGCGCGTGGGTATCGGGCAGAAATATATGAACAATCCGGCGCGATGTACCTGCGCTCCTGGGGCGACTACCTGCGGCTAATTTACAGCGAGGAGCGCGGATAACTTCCGTCGTTATTCTCTGTAGTTTCCCGCGAAGAGTTCTTTCTCCACGAAGAGTTTCTCGTAACGGGGAGCACGATTAGTCTGAAATACCTGAGAGCGGGAGGCTCTGCTCGAACGTCGTTATTGCGTAGGTTGATCCGGATCTGCATAAGAACCAGACGACGACCTTTCTCTACCTGCCGTTTTACCCTTCTGACCACGAGAACGTTAAGGAACAGCGACCACCTCGGCGATCTTGCGAATAACGATAACGTGGATGGAGTAGCTGGCAACTGGACTCGTGGAACGATTCTACTTGCACCCAATTAGCTGGCTAACCGGTAAATGCAAAGCTTATATTCGACCATCGAATCGCGCCAATGAAACAGGCGAATTAAACGCTTACGATTTCAGGTCTCGCAAAATGGATGACGCGGAAGTTGCCAAGAGCGAAGCTGAAACGGAGAGGGAAGAATGCGAAGATGTAAGATGTCTGAATATGTTCCTTATAGAGTCTTTGATACAATGTGGTTGTTAATTCGATCGTTTAGAAGCTGCACCGATCGACTCTATAAATAGAAATATAATAGAAAATTGCAATTACAAGGATTATTTGTTAAAATTCACCTTGCTATCTACAATTATTTACACCGTCTCTTATTACGCTATTTACGTTGTTCGGGTTATTCAACTATAGATCTGGTTTCAGGAAGAGCTGCCGATCACGACCACCACGAAGAACGCGTTGATAACGACCCAGCTTGGTCCCTGTGACGTTTATCCGCATCGCGTCAAAGTGTCCATCATCGGCGTAGGAAAGATTGGAATTGCCTGCGCTATCGCGATCTTGATGAGAGTTAGTATCAGTGCGGAGCGAGCCGCGCGGACCGCGACGCTCGGTCAACCGTCTGATTCCCCGTGATTTTTAGAGAATGGCCAGCGAGGTCTGCCTGATCGATCACGACTCGAACAAGGCTTCCGCCGAGGCCGAGGATATTCAGCACGTTGGAGCTTTCTTGGGGTGTCCTCTAGTAACTGGCACATCAGGTACTTGACAGTCTCATATACGTATTACATATTGTATGTATCTTAATCTGATGGATTTTGATGAATACTTTCATGGAAATTGAAATTGAATAACGAGGTACTCGTTCCTTGCTATTCCTTTTGCAATTGTTTTGTACAGTGTACTTCCTTTGGTCATCGGTAAAAAAAAGTTGTAGGACTTATCGATCGATTTGGTTATTTTATCGTTTAAAAAAATGAAATACTGACACATAAAAAATATACGATTTATAGTTTAACACTAAATCAGAGACTCGAAGACGACGAAGACATCCAACATTTACACGCTTAAAACAGGAACAACTAACGAAACGAATACCTAACGTTTCACGTACATACTCCGATCGTCGCTTGTCTGCTCGCTGCGGAAGAACCAGGAGTCGAAAGCTAATCCCTCGGCATGGTAATTTCTTCCGCGTGTCAGTGGACGTGACGACGAACTGACGATGCTTGGGGCGAGCATCGATCGCGATCGTTCGGCCCGATTCAGGACTGCCGCTTTTAAAAGACGCTGCCGTCGCATCGACTTGTTCGTCAAGAGACCTTCTGTCAACGTGCAATGGGTCAGAAAGAACGGTCACCGTCCCGAAAGGGGGGAATGAATTTTCGGGACGGCGAACAGAGTTCCGAGATCCGGAACCTTCTCTCTTCTCCTGGTCCTGTCTTTTAATCTCGTTGCTCATCTACATCGCCGCGTGCTTACACGCAGGACGCTACAGCAAGCGTTTCCCCGAGCTTTTCACCAGCCAGCTCGTAAATTCCGTGCCACTCTTATTTATCTCGACCGTGATCGACTCCACGATACATATTTTTTTTTTCTCTTTTTTCGGTCCCCTTTCTCCGTTCTTCGCGCAGAGCGTCCTTCTGTCATCCGTGCGCGGCCTCCGGCAGTAAACGTGGCTCGCTCGTGAAAAAAAAATATACCACCTTGCTCCGGAATTCGGGAACAAAAGCTTGGCTCTCTCGCGGTCGTCCACGATGGAAACACCGTCTCGAGCTGGCAATTTACCGGTCTGACGACGCGACTTCGTGAGCCACGATTTGCAGCTACATGTGTTTCCAGCCGATTTCATTTTGTATTATTTCGCGGTCGTAAATCTTCGGCTTTGAATTTTAAACGGGATGTTTCGATCGAGTGGATCTGGTGTCTCTCAGTTGTCGTTTTTGCACAGTTTACTAGCGAGTATACGCTGTAATCGTTGGTAAATTCGAATGCTCACGACGCTGTGATGCGATGTTCTTGAAATATTCTACTCGCAAATTTTTACTTCCCATCCGCACACATAGTTTCCTTTTAATCTCGCCCGCATCCGAGAGTAGCGATTACCGGTACTACAAGTAGAACAGACTCGGCTTTTTACCGACTAATTTATCTCAAGTGTCATCTCTACGTAGCAACGAGTGTATCTCGGTTGCGCTACAAGGTCGCATCATGCATCGTGAAGGTGTTAGCTAAAATCGGTGCTTCTTATTTGTCTTGACCACGTTATGTACTGTACGCGGTTATCGGCGCATCTCTATAGACAAAAGAGAGAATCCTCTCGGATACGGGAGAAAAGGTGCGTTCGATCCCTTCCAGCGTTTTGTATTCCAACAGCTTCCGATGGCTTTATTACCGAACGAGATATTTCCAGCGAGAAATTTCCAGAAAGGGATGCCCGACTTCTAACGATTCTTTCTTTGGTATTCTTATCTCGGCTAGGGTAGAACGTGTTTCGCATAAGCATTCGACGAATGCGCGTTAGCCGAATTTAAGACAGTTCTTCTTCGTGGTACAACCACTGTTTTCGACAGAATTCCACGATACTTGATCGGGGGAAAGTATGCGAGTGAGAATCTCGCCGGGTAACGAGTGAGGAATTATTTCGAAAATGCACGTGGAAATTTGTCTGCATATGGCAAGAAGTGCGTTATTACTTGAATAATTATCAGGAATTTTTACTGACAGATTTCAGTATGGTGAAGGAATCCGCAGTGGTGATAATTTGCACTCGCGAAACCGCACCTGGTGAAAGCCCAAACGTAAGACACAATTTCAAGGTCTTCAAGAAAATCATACCTGCTGTAGCAAGATTCGCATGTAAGTCCGTCATCCTGGTCGTTACTCAGCCGACCGATGTGATGTCCTACATCGCCTGGAAACTATCAGGATTTCCTTCTAATCGCGTCCTTGGCCTCGGTACACTGATAGACTGCGCGAGGTTTCAAGACTTCGTCAGCAGAAGATTAAACGTGGCGCGAAGTTCAGTTACTTGTATGGTGGTCGGGGCGCAAGGAGACATGGCTGGTATTTTATACTCAATAATGAACTATTATCGTATATTGGACCGTGTATCTTTTGTAGTTCCTATATGGTCGAGCATCCAAGTGGGTGGAATGAAGCTTCGGGATATAAATCCTAGAATAGGGGAACAAGACGACCCTGAGAAGTGGTACGAAATCTCGGAGAACGTAAAGAACGTGTGAGTGATCGTTACGGGCGAGATCGTTAAGGGGAACGAGATCGTTTAAACTCATTTTGCGCGGGCACGTTTCAGTGGCACACAACTGGAGGAGAAGAAAGGATCGTGCTGTTGGGGCGTTGCTGTTTCTACGGCGGAAATCGTCGATGCAATTGTTAGGAACACCAAAGTCGTGCTCCCGGCGTCAACGCACATTCTCGTGAGTCGAAATCCTCGCTTGCTACAAACTCCAAATTTTACGATGGCTATGAAAAGTATTATATTTACGCATATCATTACTTCTCAACGAAACTTTTCTCTTGGCAAACTTTCGCAGTACATGTTCGTCGATGTATTACCAACTACCGAGTTACATGCTTTTTAAAGAAGGAAAATACTGTCCACAGAGTTGCGCTCACGGTACGGACAAGGACGTGTACATGTCCGTGCCCTGTGTGATCGGTCGAGAGGGTGTGTACTGTACCGTGCGACAGAAGCTAAGCGAACAAGAGAAGTCGGCGGTGCAAACGTGTGCGGACAGTATTCGAAGTATACTGCGGGAAAGCGGAATTCTCCAGGAGACAAACCACGAGACGGAGTAGCAAGGAACGAGCGAAGAGAAGAAGAGGGACGTGGTAGTGTAATCGCGAGACGGTGGACTGCGTGCTACCGGAAATTACGCAGCAAGGAGTGCGAGATCGAGACGAAGGATGTAGCGTTTTAGAAGGCGTCTTCATCAATAACAAACGCGCGCACCTGGCGACCGGTTCTCTGTACGGGTACATAATAAATGACACTACAGGAATTGACTTTCTAGAAAACTATCGTGTCCCTCGCGAAAAACCGGTCGTTGGTGTAGTTTGTGTCCTATTATGAGCTATTCGTGGCGTTTGTCGATGGATCATCCGTGCGTTGATCACGAGATGCGACGTATCTCGATGGAAAGATGGAAAATGTATCTCAAACAGCCACATATATATAAACACGCACGTAGTTGGGATTTATTGTAAATTACCATTGTTGTATTATAACTTCACGTTGTTCGCTGTTTCATTCGAGGGAAGATCGGGGGCAGCTTTGGTAGTTACTCAACGACCGTTCGAATATTTCCGGCAATAGAGTGGTGAACGAGGAAGGAAGGGTGGTTCATGCGGAGCGCGGTGTTCAATTAGCAATTTAATATTCGTTCGTGGCTCATGTGGAGCCCAGTGCCACGAGCAATTGGATCTCAAGTGTCCGACGAAAAACTCTTCTCACGTGACCGGCAAAGCGGAAATTGAAATTCGCATACACGTTCGATAACGGCGTATCCCATCTGTGCCGATTCGACAGCTGTCCATCGATTTCGTACGTTCGTCATTAGCTTGGGCTATAGAGGAATCGAAAGAGCAGTTTTCTGAAAAGACTGTATAATCTTTGTTCCTTTCCAATCGATCTCGATCTTATCGCGAATCAACGTTTCGCTCTGTGAATAGACAACTTCAGACTTAAAGAATGATGCAACGTTTGACTGTCACTTTCGTTGTTTAACTTAATGGAGATGAAATTTATAGAGTATTACAGAGATACTCCAGGTTACTGATCTAGTTTCGGTTCAATCAAATCCTCGGGATGTTACACCTGAGTCCTGAGTATCAGGTTCATTGACGATGGCCGTACCCAAGAAGAAGTTACTCGATACCGTCTGGAACACCACGACGTTTTTGCTCACCAAGCAGCCGGAAGATTTCGTGGAGTGTCATCGCGTTAAAATCGTCATCGTCGGCAGCGGTTACACGGGTGTCGCCGTTGGAATCGCGATTCTCTTCAAGGTTCGTCGAATATTTTGTATCTCTAACCTATCTCAATTTCCCTCTGACTGAATAAGCGAATAAATTTCCTATTACTTCATAGAAATATGAAAATTTATAAACGGAAATCGTGGTCTTCGAACATTAAACATACGGTAAAACAAAAAAATTAATACAATTTGAGAGAAATTGGTGATCAAGCAACGAGTAAAACATAAAAAGGATTAAGAAAAGAAGAAATCAAGCGGTTGTTCAAACACTCGAAAAGACCTTGCGACGATAAAAAGCATGATCGTCTATAAACAACATTCAAGCCCTCGCCAGTCCACCAGCGCGCGTGATTCGTGTTTGCCCAAGGAGAATCATCGTTGCGGTAGCAAACCTACTAGATCTATATATTCTAGTGGTCGACAAAGGGCAAGGAGTCGGAGAAATACTTGGATAGGCGTGTGCGCTCGTGTACGTGCATTCAAGCGAGGGACGAAGGCTGAATGTGGGCTCGTTAGTGTGCCGGGATCAAATGGGATATTATGCAAATGATCCACGAAAGACCAGAAGAGGGAATTCGGCGACAAGAAAAGGCAGAGAGATTGGAACTTAAAAGCAGCGAGAACGAAGAAAGAATGAGGGAGGACGAGGAACGTGCTTCCCTTTGCTCGTTATCGGATCGTAACGCGAGCATTTACACGTCGGACGCCCCCGCAGGATCGTCGCGGCGCTGATTTATTCTAGTCGCCAGAGGAAGAAAGCTGAAATCCATACTTGTCTACGAGGACATCCAATCCTTATCGCATTCGCTGATCCAAGGGCCTGGTTTCTTCGTGCGTGCGCGGGTGGAGACCTTTACCTTCGTTTGTCCACGGAAGCGGTGGTTTAAACGAAATTGAAAAGTCCTCCCTCTTTGTCGATGCAAGGTCGAACGAATGACGCTGTCATTACGAATCGTTTCACTGTTCCCTAGAGTGTAACGTTTCATATTCTTCTCGTATAGCTAACGAGGGTGAGTCAGGTGGTTAACCCATTAAGAGCCAGCGTTGCGTTAACGCAACCTTTTCATTTACAATTTTGCCTTCAGTCGATTCACATTATTGAATTTTGTTTTTATGTGATTATGAAATGGAATTTGTGCGACTTTACGTCACGTTTCTGCAATTCATATTGCGTTACTGTTCGGTCCTTGGCTCCTCGACGAATCAATGATTAATCGAAAGATTGACCCGAATTAAACATACATCACTGCGCGTGATAACTGCGCGGACGTCGTTAGGTGAGAGAAAGGCCTGGGTAAAACGGGGTGAATCGTGGAAGGAGTGGCAGTCTGGTAATCGGAACGCTAGCATATTCCGGTAGGAGATAATGAACGTGGGCGACTAATTCCAGGTTTCGGTTTCCGTGGATCGTTACGAGGGCAAACAATGAAGGCCGCGCATGGTGAATGTCAGGGGCGGGTCTGAATGTCGTTATATTCCGCTCGTAGAGTAACAACGTTATACACGTTTACAATGTCCCTAATAGTGACCACGCTGTTCCCGTTTCCTACTATTTCAGTCTGTCATCAAGATCTATAATGATAGTTGCCGGGACGGGCACTCCTTTGGACGCTGCATTATAATTTTCCTTATGAAACCAAGTAATAAACGTTACTCGAAGATATTCTTAAGTGCCATCGAACTCATTAACGTCACCAGAAATGTTTGATATCACGGCAACGATGAACGAGGTGAATGGATCGAAGGGTAATATCGTATAACAAAGAAAATGATGAAGCAGAAGCAAGGAAGGCAAAGTGAGAAGGAATAATAAGAAGTGGAGACAGTGAATCGTGCGGTTGTTCCGTCGGTCCTGGCTTGGCAGATCGCATCAACGAGATGATCGCGAGGTACCAGCGTTCCAGTACCATCTCCACGACTTACTGTCCACCTTACGAGCCCGCTACACCCAACTCGCTCGGTAGTGCTTGCATAAGACGTTCATCTTCTTCTTGTTCTCGTCGCTTCCCAACCCGTTGTTACGTGTCATGTCCGTCGGGTCGCATTAAATCGTACAAACTATCTCACGGGTCGGTACTGATGGTGAAAAGTTTCCTGCTCGTGAAGCTATATTTCATTTCGAGTTACAGTTGTTACGATTCAGAGATTGAGAGAAAGTAAGTGAAATATATACATAGTTCGATTATTCGCATATGATCGTAAGTTTAAATGGTAATGTTTACGAGTGGACTACATCGGCTAGAAAATAGCGTTGCATACTAAAATTAATTCAGTGGAAGCATAATAAAACCTGACCTGATGACGGATCGAGTGTCACACCTTCGGTACCTTACGACCTGTGATCAGCTGCGCTTCTCTGAAGCGGAATCGACGAGGGTAGCCAAGAGTGAAGCGCTGACTGGCATAGGTAACTAGAACCGCATGAGAGACTGCACGAGAAGTAGGAAAGGATCGGCGATCGGTTTTACTCGATCGAATGCAAATTACACGACGCAGGTCGCTTCACCGGAATCGTTAATGCGTTCGTAGCGATCCTCGTCTCGGTTGTCTCGTACGTTCGCTCCCTCTCTCGCTGTTGTCCACGGTCATGCGTCATTAAAAATCTCGTTACAAAACACACACGGCGGAGGAGGGTTTTTGTGAGTTAATTACCGCTCAATATCGTCGCACGATACGTGTGGGTATTACACGAGGGATAGGAAGAGGAAAAAGAGAAAGTAGAAAAAAAAGAGGAGGAAAGAAGGCATAAGGGAGGAACATCGACGAGCTGGCGAGGAAACTTCATCAGCTGCGATATTATGCATGCTGCGGAAGTCATGCTTGATGAAGTATGGTGATTAAGCGGTGTACAATAACAGATTGGAAGCACAAGGGCGTAACGTAATATATTAAGAAGCCGTTTCTGTTGGTAGCCGCGGGTTTGTCTTAACGTGTGAAAGCACCATCTGTCAGAGAAAAATGTGTCCATCTGCTGGCGCGGAAACGAAAGCGGACGAAGCGTGCACCGCGGTATACGGTTCGGCTATTTGCTACGAAAACGTGTGTGCTCGTCCCACACCGATACCCTATTATTCAACCGGACGAATTAGACCGTGATTAAGAGAAATTACCGAGTTAAAAACGCGCAGCGATTGATGCCCGAGGTGTCGCTGAAAAAATTTCTACACGAAATTATAGACGTTAGACGATAGAGGAACATCAATTACCAAGAGGAAACGAGATTTTGACAAATACGTAATCGCCCCGGGGAACGTTCCTGATGCACGATCAATTATTTCAGCCGCGTTCCTTCGACGTTCGAAGCATCTAATAGCTCTTTCTTTGGACGAAGAATCGGTGCAATAGAAGAATTATCACAATACGAGGAGGAAGCTCAACGGGAGCTTTCTTTACTATTCATCCAGCCAGACCGACGAATATCGCTCGATCAAGACGTTCCGAGCAAAAACTAGCGATGCAATCTGCTAAACGCCAAAGATAATTACCAGGACAACGTGAAAAATCTCAAATTCCATCAAATTCGTGTTACGTAACATCGGCAAAAGGGAAGACTCGTGATCGAGCGAACGCCGACAAAGTGGTCCTCTCCTCTCACGGAATAGTCCGGTCTCGCTCGAACGAAGAGATGATCAGACCCTAACGATCCTTCGCATTAAGGGATCGCTCGAATGGCGCGATCGATCGCGCGCGCGACCACGTACTCTTAATGCGATTCCCGGGGGTCTTGATTGCGTAACGATTTCGAGTGCGTAATAACTCCCGGCCGTTGGCTAGTTCCTGTTAATTACTCTTTATAATCCCCGGTTCTGTTGCTCGTTGCAGCGTCTCGCCTCGGAGGTGGTGTTCATAGACGCGGACGAGGAATTGGCGAAAGCAGAGGCGGAAGACATCAGCCACGCGGCGGCGTTCCTCGGCAACCCGAAGATCGTCGGTACCAAAGGTGAAAATAAATTTCATCTTTCAGCCGTTTTTGTGTCCGAGAGATTGTTAATAAAGAAAATCGCGATGATTTATCAACCGTGGGACCATCCTTAGATTATTCCATGGCTAGAGATGCCACGGTCTGCGTGATCACCGTGGGGGATAGAGCTACGAGCGACGATGACGAAGCAACTTTGATGGATCAGAATTTGAATATTTTTAAAGACGTTATCCCGAAGGTCTGCAAGTATGCACCAAACAGCATACTTTTAATCGTGACGGCACCAGGTATAAGCTATCAGGCTTCGTAGTTGCACTTTACATTTTTTAATATCGATGCATGTACGTGGTGTGGTATAACGACGTTACGTCGTGTTTCAGTCGACATACTGTCGTATGCAGCCATGAAGCTCTCAGGCTTCCCACCGCACCGTGTGATGGGGTTGGGCACATTTTTGGATAGCTGTAGGTTTCAGTACTTCATCGCGCAGAAGCTTGGAATTTCGGCAAACTCGGTGCAGGCCTCTATAATTTGTGAAAACGGACCCACGTCTGGTAATTAGCGTACCGTATACTATCACTGTTACGTTTAATCGTTTCTGAAAGTGCGTTGAACGTTGACACCGAACAGTACCCATCTGGTCCGCCGTGACAGTCATGGGCATTAAACTGAAAGACATCAACAGAGATATCGGTACTAAATCGGATCCAGAATCGTGGGGTGAACTACATACAAAAGTAATCGAATCCGATAAAGATCTTATCACGAGGAAAGGATATCGCTGTTGGGGTACTGGTATTTGTGCGGCGGAAGTCGTAGATGCCATCGTGCGAAATACTTGTATTTGCATGACGGTATCTACCTACTTAAAGGTAACGATTTAATCCTTACTTCTACTTTCTTCTTCCGTTTTAACGCGCGATAGTTAGTTATCAATCTTTTCCAGGGTTGTAGACACGGTCTGGAGAAAGATGTCTACATGTCACTGCCCTGTATAGTCGGCAGAAATGGCATACAAACGCTTCTTCGTCATCCGTACACGCCGGAGGAGCAAGAACTTACGGAGGCCTCGTGCAGAGCCATTTACGAGACTCAAAAATCAATTCTTCATACTTTGGAGTGAATCTTTACGATCTCACCAAGTACAAACGTTTTCATCACTTTCGTCGACTCGTGCATTCGTTGGAAAGTCCATAATTCTAAAAGTTCACTCGTGACGCGAAAGAACAATGTTGTATTGATTAAATTACACAAAAACCAGCAGCGAGATGAGAGTTCGGTGGCAGAATCCATGCTTAAGAAGCACAGCCAGTTTGTTTTACAAACCGAATTTCTTTTCTTTTTCTTCGGCAACCGATGAATAGGGGAGGCGCTATAAATCGCACGCGCACGCCACTCGGCCGATTTCGGCCAATTTGCCAAGATTAATGTAGACCAGGGATAATTAATTGGCGGACGTACGAAGCGGTTAACCGTCCCGCCACCGGCGACCGGTCGTGATAAAACGATCGCTATTACAAACACAAAGAACGCCAGTTTCGAAGACGCGATGGTCAACGATACAGCAATCTTTTATAAAATTCGCTTTCGCCGATACCGGCCTTTTGTCTTTGTCAGCAGCGGCATTAGTCAACAAGTTCTCGCGTCGACGCTCCTCGACGCTACCGTCCTACCCCACAATTCGATAAAGTCGTTTCCAAAGGAATAAAGATACCCGTGTTCAATAATGAATCCGACAACGGTTCCTACTTACGCTACGGACTGCCAGAAGAAGAAATTTATTCATGGAATTCAGCGAAACATCGTTGTTGCCGGTATAAGCTTCGTACGAAATAATCGACGGTGATTCATTACCTCGATTACAGAGTCGAAATTTCGTCGAGCAAACCGGCCAACTCCGGTGGAAAAAGCGCGTGAAACAGAGACGCGATCGTGGCAATGCCGATGCCTGCTGCTTTTAATGGCTGTTCATCCTCTTTCTGGATTCATATTCTCGAAATGAGCAAGGAACCGTATAACGAAGAGAGGCTTATAATGTAAACGCGGCTCGTTGTCGTCGCGACGACCAACCACCAGCAAATTCTTCGTCGTTCTCTCGCAACAGGAGCACGGGGACACACCGGTGATTCATTATACATGCTAACGAATGTGCGTTACGAGAGAGAGAGAGGGAAAGAGAGGCTACGAAGGGTTTCCTGCGGCTGGAAGCCACACCAATAACGACGGGGAGTACGGCAACGTCTTCATCTCCGACGCACCGGCTTCTTCTCAGGCGAAGCCGTTTTTCTGTATTATCTCGATGACGAGTCTCGAGCACGTAATTTATATCGCAAACCTAATAACACGATTCTGTTCCTCCATGTCTTCCCTTGTCAACATCAAGTCGTCTATTTCCCTACTTTTCGCCTACCATCGCTAATCTTCGTTATCATTCAGTTTCTTGTTCGAAGTGTATAAAAATGAAACAAATATCGAATATATTCCTCTATGAACTTTCCAATCAGCAACGTTTGGGAAGTAATTTGGCGAGGAAAATTCATAATCCTCTCGGTGTCGGAATACGAGCGAAAAAGAAGGAGGTTCCCGAGGACATCGTTCACCAGCGAAACACCGCGGTAGGTACTACTAATTACTGTACTTTTTATTTCGCTCCGACATAATGCCCCGCCGGTTCGAGCAGCGGGTTCGGTTCACCATGAGCGGAGGTGGCCCGGCCGCCGCGTCACAAGGAGAAAAAGGAACACGTGTAGGAGTAAAAAGGAAGAACGAACGGAGAGTGGCCAGAGGCCGATGGAACACTGTCTGGCTCCCCTCTTGTAGTGCAATATCCGATGCGTTCGGATCATTTATGCAGCGATCACGACACGTATGCAAGCACGGCAGATCTTAAAGCATTCGGTCGACGTCGTAAAACCGCAGCGGTACACGACGGAGCGTGGGGGCCAGGTCGGTCCTTGATTGAGTTACGATTTAATTAGTCCGTGCGGCCAATCAGTAATTAAGATATCCGCTAATCAACGGACCCAAGAGCACCTCCGATCTCTTCACCCCTGACGCGCATTAGCAGAGGGAACTTTTCTCTGCTCCCCTCCCGTCTCGATGCGTACTTCCATCTTCGTCCTTCGTTCTTCTTCTGCTTTCTTCCCACACTTTTTACTACCTTATCCTTCCTGGTTCCCGGTCCATTGCCAAACCCGTGAATCAATCGACCGGACAGTTCGGCCGCCCGCAGGATTCTACGCGCGTGACTAATCTCCTCGTAAAAAACAAGGGATCTAAATCGATAGCTGGACAAAAAGTTGATAGCTTCGGGAAATGGTAACGAAAATTTGGTTCTTGCTGAGAACTTAGGCCTCTGATGTTTAGTTCGTTTATGTTCTGAATACATTTTCTGGGAGCTATGATACTTATGAGTTTTGTTTCTTTCGAGACAAGTATGGTTGTATTTTCTCTCTGCGTTGGTGTATTAAAAGCTCTGCAGTAATAAGGCGCGTTGATTCTGTTGACCGTACAAGAAAAGCCAATTACGTCACGTGTCTATTACCTGACATTTATGCAAAATAAATAAAGATATATGCGTAATTGCATGTCTAAAAATATAGCACGTAACATAACCACTTCCTTCGCATCTAATCAAATGACTCACGGGCCAACTTTTGCTCGGATTTGTGGATAAGATATGTCACGTCTCGGTGAAAAACACGCAAGATATCTCGTCCAAGCCATCGCGAGGTTTCTCGTTCATAAACGTGAAAGGATTAATGGATAAGCTAGGCTAGCTAACGATACAGAAGCATAACGTATGCTAATACATATAAGATTAATATACTGTCAATGGAGAAGAATATAAGATGGTTAGGTTCCAATACCCAGTTAAGGTTTAACGAACAGGGACTCTGTTACTCTGAAATAGATGTCACTTTAAACAAAATAGGATGCGTCCAGGCAAAGCTCTCAGGTAGAAATCATGGTGCGATTAATCACCTGTTCGGGTTCTTGCTATAGGTCTCGGTGCACTTGTTACCTCATTAAATCAAATATATGGCATCGGATCGCACAGAAATCGAACCGTAATTCATAATAACTGCGACATTTATGTACCCTGTGCACGCCCTGTGACAAATATTCTAAGTAATCGTTTAATATCTCGGTCTGTCCTCTCGAAGGACCTGCTTGATCTGAGCGAATCTCGATACGACTATTTATTACTTATTCGTGTCATCAAGATATAAAACATCAATTTAAATTCAAACTTTATTTGCTCCAAGAATAAATTCCTAGATCAAGATTATTCCAGTAATTTGACATAAAATATTAAGAAATATCAATGGACATAAAATAATATGTTTAATATCAATAGAAATTGATCTGAAAATCTTGTCGTAAAAATCTTTCAAAAAAATCTTCATAACGACGGCATCTGTCGGGTACAACGAGAACCCAGATAAACCCACTGCCTCAGGTGACTTATGGAAACTTTTCTCTTCGTTCCAGAATCTTTGTTCCCTTTCTCCAGTGACTTTTTTCAGCACGTCACTTTATCGAGTGTAATCGATCATGAAACAAGCTAATGATCAATCACCAGTATCTTCGTATAATTTCGAAATTTTTTAATAGCCATTCCATTTTGCAAGATTAGAACAGGGAACTTGATATGAATTCGGCCAGCGAAGGTTTCCGGACGCGAGATTAAACGTCGTATCGGTACCGCGTGCGTAAGATAGCGTTGATTGTAATTAATAGCCGGCCATTGCGTTAGCCCTGCAGCCAGTTAATTGTCGAGAGAAGATTAATGGCACAAAATCACGCCAATACTGGTCGATTGTCCGAAACCGATCCCTGTCTCGAGTCGTGCTCTCGTGTTTCGGCCGTGGCGGACGCGAAACTCGTTTCTCGTTACACTTGTCTGCGCGATAAACTCGAACGAGCACGCGGGACCACGCGGAAAATTATTCGCGACCGGTTACCCATGATATTTTTAATCGCATACAGCAGTCGGGTTCTCTATCGCGAAATTAATTAAGATTTATTAGAAGGGGCTTCTCGTATCGTATCGAATTGTTAAATAGTTCGCACTTGCCTCGAATTTAAGCAAAAAGTGCGATACGATACGTCGATACGTCGCGGGTATAAGTCGCTAAAGCTTTATGACGTTTCAATTATATTTTAAGAAAGATAAGCAAATCTGAGATTGTAAAAGCTTGATTACTTTTCAATTACATGTTAGGAACTGTGTCGAGAGATAAGAGAACCTAATATTAGGTGTGGATATTTCATAGATTACCAATCTGACGACGACTGAGTTAACCAACGTGGATTTCAGGGATTGTATAATCCCTCGGTAAGCAATTGGACAAAAACAGCCAACTAATCGAATCCCTATAGATACACGTTCGTGAAAGTAATTACCTTCTGCAATAATGCATCGTATGTACGAGATGAACGCGGTTGCATCCCTTAATACGATACGTGACCGTCTAGAGTCGGATACCGACTTCGAATCTATCAAAATCGTAGAAAAAGACCTAATTCCAGCCGCAAAAGATAGCCGATTAATTCATATAACGGAAAAATGTTTCTTTATCCTAACCTTTAACCGATGAAGAAATACAAAAGCACTTCGTTCAATATAGCCAGGCTACTCTTTCCTCATCGTGTTATTGAACTTTATTACGATGGGCAAAAAGCTATTGCTAAAGTCTGAAGGTTGTGCTTGAGATAGCACAAGGAGATATACTTAGGACCTTTTGTAATGATCAATCGGAGTTCAATGATAACTGGGTTTTTACAATACAGAAATTACAGAATACTTCGACTAACGATAACGATTCCCCTTCACGAACTGCTTAATCGTTGTTATAATTTTCCATAAAAACAAATGCAGCAATGATTTCATTTTAAATTTTCAAATTGATATGAAATTGTCTTGACCGTATCAGTCGGGACTACTTATCTCCTACTAGCTAAGAGATAACACATCCACGCATGTACGCTTCCTCCTTCTCGATCATGGTTCTTTGCAAACTCATCGACGAACGGTGTTTATAACCTGCGTGGATCGCATACTCGTGAAATTGCTGTCTCGAAGAGGTCAACACAGCCAAGATAATAAGACTAGGGGTTGTAATTCCAGCGGAATAATTTCTCTACGCGAGACCGGTATACGGCTGTTAGACGAGGTAGCTGATTTATGGCAGAATCCTGGATTACCGATCGTGAATAGTCAGATCCAGCTTTACCGTCGACGGTAAGCCGGCGGATAAAACGTAATCGAGAATGCACGCGCGGTGGATCGCGAGCCACGGAGCCTCGATCCGTGCTAGATTCCAGATTGTACGCCGATTATGCCCCGATTTCAGATTTACGAGCGAGCGAACCCGTTCCTCCGGCATTTATTTATAGTTACGGGGAATCACTTGTTGAGTTCACCGACGATCTACACCCTTTCTCTTTCAGTTCTCTATTTCTTTTGCACGCGTGAATGCACCTTTTAACACTGCGCTCATCCAACTGCGACCACCCGTGTTTAATGGATAAACGTAACACGGATCAAAGTAACAGGCTATCGGTCTTTTCGGATAATTTCATAGGAAATATTGCGTGTGACTACGTGTAATTACGTTCGTTTTACTGTGCTGTGTAAAAAACAGAGATAAAATAAATGTTCTATGAGCGAAGAAATATTTGATGTTGTTTATTTGGCTTGATATTACGTTAAAAAATAGAAATCAACAAGTTATTCAATTAAAGTAATTCTATTATCTATAAAATTAAATTTCCTACTTAAAGACAGGCTTAAAGCTACGTTTAATTCTGTTCAATGTGAAGATTATAAAAAAATATGACCTTTAGATTATTTGTTGTTGCTTATTTCGATAAAATCAAAGTATTTTACCTTTTAATGGATTAAAGTATTTATCTCTTAAACAAGGAACACTTCAACGAATAGGATGTGGTAACACAAGGAATTCAACGTTCTAAAATTATCAGTCATAAGAGGAACGTTCGGGGCAAATATGTTTAGTATTTTGTTGAAATATTTGGCACAAGCAGGGAATAAATTTTCGCTCGAGTAGTAATCCAAACGAAGATTTGTTTCAGTATCTCATAACTTTGGCAAAACGCATAAGAACACGTACATTCTCAGAGGCAATCTGGTGCGTCGACAAAAACGCAACATTGTAAGATCTCCGCCCAAGTTACTGCGCGAGATTATACGCAGGAGCAATTTGTATTTGCCCTTTTAAGATTGAAACGGCTGCCTCTTTTTCTTCCCTCTTTTCATTCGCTGCTCGTTGCAACGATTACGAGATTAACGGTTGCAAGACATCCGGTGAGAGTGGCGACCATAGTACTGTTCGGGAGAAAGAAATAAAAGGGAAAAGCAAGGAAGGACTTATTTTTACAATTTCTTGGTCGTAGCACACGAGGGATACGCAATTAGTCGGTCGATATCACGGCGGTTCAACGGATCGATACCGAATTGCGATGCAATTAGCAATATCGAATCACGGGAGATTTACAAAGTCCGGTTTTCGGATGCTAAACCTCGTCGATCGCCTTGCAAAAATACGTTGTATCCCAAATTGAGGCTAATTGGATGATTGACTTCGCGCTTTATGCGATCGATTAATTTATCATGACGCGATTTAACGAAAGACACAAATGGAACTGTGTACGCGACTCTCTACTAATTGGCAGTAAAGTCGGCGAATGTGATTATCCTGGTATCATGTCGTAAAACACCGTAATTAACTGTAACGTATTAGAATTAATCTTATTGAACGGAGCGATTAAGTGTCATGAACTTTGATTATTGTCAAGATTATTGTAAAAGAAATGTTATATGCAGAAGATATTTCCATATATTAATTCGACTGAATCTCAGTATCTTCAGTATCTGAGAGAATTTAAAAAAGAAAATTATTGATAACGAACGTAACAGCCTTTTGATTACGGATTAATATTAAGGCAATGATCGGTAGCCGCGGGGGAAAAACAATTACAGGAAGAAATATTATGGGATTATACGTTCACGAAGACAACATTATCTTTTTGTGAGATAAACCGTACTTGAATTATATTATAAATGCACCTGTCTGCTTGTCACGTGATTTCTGCTATCTAGAAACATTCAAACGCTGTACTTATTGCGCAATTCGTGCAAAGCCAATGTATCTCTAACATATGCAGTGTATGACATAGCAGTTGTGTGATATAAGAATTCAAAAATTTATCAGCTATTGTAAAAATAATGAAAAATTAATAGTAATCTTCGTTTCACTATATTAATTCATGAATAAATTCATAAACTCCTAATTATCAAACCAATCTTCTAATACTACTTATCTATCAAGAAAATAAGAAGATGCAAAGATTCAAAGTTCTCACCGTCAGTAGAGTGAATGACTCGAATATCGCACTTCCCTATAA